ATAATATCGTAGGAAATTGTAGTGCATTTATATCACATATAAGCCAATTAAAATAGAATTTCATATATGATAGTAAAGATAATAGTTTATGAATAAGTTAAAATTATAAATATGATATCATAACAATCTAATGTACATATTTAATAAAAAATATATAGATTTGATTAGATTAGACAATCACGTAATTTTTAAAACTTTCAGTACATAAAATAAAATAAATATACTATAAATAGTATACAACCACGCAACAAAAACAAAAACATAACAGACCTCTTTTTTTATGCCGATCTATTCTAATTAAATATTAAAATATCCTTCTCGAAACTAAAATACACAATTAAATCCTTTCACTCGAACTCATCTGGACGTATGGAATGTAACTATGGGGCTCATATAAAAATTAAAATAAACAGAAAATATAAATATTCCAAAATAAAATACTAAGGTTAGCTTAACCCCTTCGTATATGTTAAACCATACACTACATACAGATCTATACATCGCCAAAATAACAAAAACGGCCAAAATGCATTAAGTATGTAAAATTTAGAAACCGGTTTAAGAACCACAACGATCCTCATGTTCAAAATATTTTAACTAATTTTATCCCCAGTTACCCTATCAGATTTAAGCAACAATAGCTCCCGAGATCTATTCATATCTAAAATTGTAAATACCATTAAACCTAAAGCAATGTTCCATCACTCTTCCAATAATTTCTTCCTCAAAGCATAAAATCAACTAAATAATAGTTAATAAATAATTATCACTTATGCTTATTATACCACACTTAATGTATTTATTTAAAATATTCAAAATTAATAACCAAAAACTAAGAAGTTTTTTTTAATATTAAATAGTCTTGATTTAACTTTCATACGATTATTCTCTAATGGCTTACTTTTTTAAATTGTATTAATGTTTAAAAAATATTTCCTCCCACACACAAATATTGTTTTATTCTAACACATTAGTATCATTATTATTTGTATTAAAATTTAAGTAATTTAGTTTAAGATTCAAAGATTTTTAATTTTAATTCTAAAATAATTCGGTTTCTCCATGTATTTATAATTCGTATAGTATATATAATAAAAAGATTAAATCTAAATAACCTAAATCATTAATATGTATTAGTACTTAGTAAAGAAAACAAATAATAGTAAAAAAAAAACATTATGCTGATATCGTGCAACGCTAAATGTGTTATTTATAATAACATCACGTCTTCTTATAATTACAATTACATTTGTTAGTTTTGTAAATACAATTTTATAAATAAAAATAAAAATATTTCACCAATTGCAGTGTAATAATTTTTATTTATTTTTGTAGGAATTATACGTTTTAGGGTTTGAAATATGTGAACAGAAATTTTGATAGGGATGTGCAATATCTTTTTAAATCCTAAAACGATTTACTGTCATGTAATCTGAAAACTATTTCTCAGACAAGTTTTCGTAATTTATATATTTTTTAAAGTTTTTTACTTTGAATAAAGCAAGATTTTCGAGATATTCTCATAAACAAATGGCAACTGCACAACTACTATCCTATGAATGAGCATTTCGTAATAATCGATTGACCGTTTTAAGACATCAAATATTGGTAGCAATTTTACTTATCGTAAAAGTTTTTAAAAAATATACGCTCTTAAATAGTTCAACCCAGTAGCAAATGAAACACTAATATTTGAAAGTACAAAAATTGATATTATTTTCAAACTTTGATACAAACGTTTTCATTTTATCGACCTATTCAAGTGGTTTAAAATATTATTTCATATACATATAAAATATCCTTTTAAAAAAAAATTGCTCCACTGATGGTTTGATTTGTGGTTTTCATGAGCCAATATTTAGAATCTAAAAATATATTTCCTTGAATTGCTTTTAGAAAAAAAACTTAATAAATATCAAGATAAAACGGCAAGCATATAAAATTATATTTTTGAAAACATATTGTGCAGTGTTTGAATTAAAATCAATTACTGTGGTATTTCGAAATTACATAAATCGATTGATAAAATATGTGCAGCGAGTAAAAAGTTTTTTAAAAAGTGTTTACTTATTTAGTCCTCGCCTTAGTTCTAATTAATTGATAGAATATCTGGTTGAAAATTGCTATTGACCACCATAATTGATACTAATTAAAACTATTAATATTTTAATATATTTTTTTTTATATAATCGAAATATAAAAACATTTTATTGCATAAGAATAATATCAAAATTTCAAACAAATTTTTCATTTTTTAAGTTTTTTAAGAACCAGAATCAGAACAGTTAAATTCATCAAAATTCCAGTACCTGGTTAAAACGTGGACATTAAATCATTGTACGTGTGCGTATACGTAAACGGTTTTAACCGTCTTTAATTCGTTTGATTATTCAACCATCATTTTTATTAAATGTAATGAACTGTTTATTTACTTATTGGTTACAGAATTGGACACCTAATAGATTCAACTTGTTTTTTCATAGTCTGTAAACAAAATAATTGACTACATGTTGTTAACTGTTTCAATTAGAGACAATTTAATTATATATGAACGCGTGATTAGATTGCAATACTCTTATAATTATAAGCGTGCACCGACCTGTATTTCATGCGATGCCTAGAATATTTTTGAGTCCTATCTTAACAAAATGTGTAGATCTATTTAATAAAATATGATGTATAAATAATTAAATAAACATAACTTTAATTTTCTATTTAATATTGTGGTAAATTGGTTCCAATTAATATGTTTTATTTCAATTTCGTATACTTTTCTCAGATAGCTTCAATTATTTATGATTTATACTATTGTAGTAATTGTTATATTATCATAATTGGTTTTTGTACGAAAATTTAGTTTTATTTTTTCTATTATGAAACATTAATAATGTTTTACTAAATACTTAAGAATAGATTAAATTTCATTTAAGCAACAACATTTAAAATATGGGTCCCTTACTTCAAGACTTAAATTGCAGGGCCCCGTTTACAAAATGTTGTGAGGAGGGGTGACCGGGAATATACAGAACTCTCCATGAGCATGATTATGCTTATAATACATAATATAGACATAAATATATTTAATCAAATCACATATAATATATAATTGATAATCATTTTTAAACAAATTGAACACTCGAACGATTTATTTAAACAACTTTATAGATTCGTACACCTGATATTGGATATATGTTTTGAAATTATAACCGCTCACGTAAATATATAAGTGCTACATTATACCATCGTATCGGTTTAGCATAAAAGCAGTGTTCATCAAAAAAAAATAACAACGAATAAACCGTTTTGTAATTCAATGAAAATTGCTTTAGATTAGCTGAATATTCAAGAAGATAAATAAAAGAGAAAATAGTCAAGAAGTCCATGATTGGTTTGCATTGCGGTGACTTCACAGTGTTTTTGTAAATCACGCGTTAACGATTTAAAAACGCCTTATAGTCAGGGTTATGAATCAACATAAGCGTATAATCGTCAAAATTATGCATTTTACATCGAGTTATCTAGTTATCACTCGAGGAGATTATGTAGATATTTAACAATACGATTTTCTATGGTATAATTGCTTCATTAATATTAAAGTGTATACTAAACCTATAGTAACAGTGTTTTTCACAGTGTTCAAAAGTGTCATTATTAATTTTGATTTCTATTAAACATAAAATTATCAATCATAAAAATGGAAAATATAAAAGACATTTTGTATAAAAAATTTAATTAACTTTTAATGAAAAAAAGTAAAGATAATTGTTTCTATTTAAGTCTCAAAAAATACTATAAATATATGAATAAAGTTATTGTGCTAGAGAAAAAAAAATTCTTAATAAACCACCATTAATTAAATAAATTTAATTTAACTCAAAAATCTAAATTTATATATTATTAAATTATCCTTTTGTATTTCTTATTAATTATTAATTGTACATAATAGTAATAATTACTATACAATTATTATATAATTTTTATTCGTATATTAATATTCATCAAATAACTAGTGTAAGTGTCAAAAATCACTAATAAATGTTATTCACAATATGAGTTATTTATAAAAATAGGTACAACATTCACCAAAATGATTGGTAAATGGTCCACAACCATCGGTGATTGTCAACACTCACAGCTAAGCCGTTATACTTAACTTTAACCTGAACATATTTATATACTATATTCTGTTTATTGTGTTTTATTATGTGATAAAAGTCAAAAATGTATTCTTTTGTAGTCAGTAAATTATTACAAATTAATAAACATAAAACGGCAGGCATATGAAAAAAACTTAAGTCAAAATTTATAATTTTGGATATAACATTTTTCTTTGGATATGAGAAAATAGTGAAAATTGTATAAATATTAATATATTCAAATCTGGATTTTCAATCAAATAAATACACTAGGATAAGGAATAAAAAATTAATTTGTATTTTAATTTTGTATACAATTTTTTTAGTTTATCGGGGTTTTGAGTTATTAAGGTTTTAGGAATATAATTCGACTTAAAGAGATTTTAAAATGTATTATATTTTTTAACTATACATATGATCAAAACATGAATATTTATAAATATTATTTTAAAATTATTATTAATAAATGAAACAAAAAATGTGTACAGTATTGCAACTTTACAATTGACAATTTGTTATCTTATTTTGATTGACAGTATAATTTGAACACTGAATGTTATTTATTTATATGTTTTCTATCTAGTAATCGAGGTTTTAGCATGAGAACAGCATTTTTTTATTATCAAGGTTTTCGACTAATCGACGTTCCATTATAATAATAATTAAGTTATGTAGAATACAAGTTATTGAAATTTAAATTGTAAACTATTATTAAATTGTTATCGTAAAATACATTTGATAAAATGTGTTTATATTCTTAAAGTAAGAATAATGTTTTGTACAAATATTATTACTATATATTACATGACTAAATCGTTATACGTATAATACGATTACTAAATATGTAAACATACATCGGTATCAACAATAATTATAATTGTTGAGCAGTTTTACATTACCCGCGCTCTAATGATGTCGTTAATAGTACCTTGACCGAATTAACGTAGGAGTAAAACGTATGTTATTAATATCCATGATAAGTTAAAATATAATATTACTCTTTTTACCTTCGTCTAGTGAATCGTATGGTAAATTACATTCTAGCACATATATCTTGATAATTATTAATATTAATTCATATTTTTTAACAACACTGAACTCATTAATATATTCATTTTAAACGTTTTCCTCTTCAGTTCAATTTTCGCAAATATTGTCTCGATAACCGATCGGAGTGTGTCGTCTAAATGCAAACAACCCGATGATGGGAGGACGGTGGATCGCTGTTATTACCACTACCGTCTTACTATACACGGCACGGGACCGGGGTCATGTGACTGCGACCGGTTACAACATACTGGCGATTTTCCCATTCAGCGGAAAAAGTCATTTTTACATGTTTCGCGCAATATCGCAAGCGCTGGTGGCTCGTGGACACGATGTTACCGTGGTCAGCCATTTTCCCGAAACCTTATCGTCGCCGAAGCAGCAACAGCGACGAGATAGTGCGACGAACGGGTCTTACACCGATTACAGTCTGGCTGGTTCGGTACCGGTGTACGAGAACTTCACCACTGACGAGCTAATAGGCAACGGGTATTTGGAAGAGTTCCTGATCATCCTGCAAGACGGCGTGGACAACTGTGAGGGAGTCATGTCATCGGGGCGACTAGACGAGCTGGTACGGAACCGCGTGAGGTTCGATCTCGTCCTGGTCGAAGTGAGTCTCTTGCCGCATTTTGTGCGATTATATTACTAACCATACAAACATTTTTTTGATTTAAATATTATATAGTTAATATATTCTTTAAATGCGCCAGCGTATGTTAGTCTTCAAATATATTGGTGATAAATAATCGACACTCAAAAAGTTTACCCTGGTGCATCTTACGACTAGAAAATCCTGTGTACAGAATTTCAATTTGTATGTTTGTCCATACTTTTAGATTTTTAAGCTATTTAAGGGTGTATTTTAGTATTTTAAACATTTTCAAGTAATATTCTAAATATCTTTATAATTTATTACTAAAATATTTCACATGTTATTTGTCTTAAAATAGTTCAATAAAAATATTACTTTTAGTTCCTATTCACAAATAATTATCTAATACAAAATGATATACTTTATGATTAATACATTTTAAACGATCGAGCTAATCATTTTTGTACTTAATGAATATAACATGCAAATAACAACATTATTGATGTTATCAAAACTAAATAGACTATTTAAATTAAATTTGCTTTTTTAGTACATATTATTTTAACAATCAGTAGAACAAATCATGTACTGTTTATATTTTGAATGCAGAAAAAAATATATTATTATCGTATGTAAAGTATAAAATCAATATCTTATTTTATGGAAGACTGGTCATATAACTATAATATAGTATAATACTGTTATGGACATTTATAGATGTAGGTCCTTATTACGGTTCTTACTACATAGGAGGGACCACATATATCATAAATAATAAAAATCAGGAAATGATTATAAATAATATAATATTCGTATGAATAGAAAGGAATTATTAATTAAAATCAGAAGGTAACACAAACACATATTATATATGAACTGTATGGCTACATTCCAAAGTGTAATATTAAAAAAAGCAATTAAAAAGAAGCACGACAATATATAGGAAAAGTGCGAATAGTAATATTAACGAGGTCACTAAAGTAATAAATCATATCCTTATAATAATCAAGAACAACTTTTACATAGTGCGGCACGATTGATTCCCACAAAACCTGAGTATATAAGGGCCCCTTATAAGGGGGTTGACTATCAGACCAATATTCAGATGTGTTTTAATCCAAGCTTAGCAAGCACCTTCACGCTTGATAGATTAATGATTTATTGTACTTAGAAATAATTTCAGTTGATAAATGTTTTTGGACTTAGAATAATTTGTCAATAAATATTAAATATTCAAAGTCTAGTAATTATTAAATAAACCTATCCTTTAACATCCACTCTTTAATGGTTAAACTGACGGCACGCAACAATACAATAATTCTAAAATATAATATTTTATATACCATTATTTGAATCATAAGATGAGTAACAATAAATGCACGGAATATGTTAGGTAACTTTTTCAATCCTAGTTCATCAAATTTTAAAACCCAAGTTTAGTTCAAAATATCATTGAAAACATTAAAATACAATTAATTTTAATTTTTTTATCAATTTTTTTATAAAAAAAAAAAAATGTAACCTTTTGCATAATTTTAAATATTATATGCTACCTATTAATAGGTTAATAATTTTCACTTAATAGGGGAATACAATATTCAATATACATCCGTAACTTTATCCGCAACCGCAATCGCTTATAAAATAAAATAACCTCGGTTCATGATATTTAATTTAAATTGTATTAAATATTTAAATACTTGTTGAAATTTAAAGGGGAGTTGAACCCCCCGCTTTTGGTACGTCCCTGTATGATTTGATGATACTGATTTAAACCGATTCATTGTGTGGGAAACAAATAAACATAATACGAAATAAGTAATAAAACATAAACGTGTCTCCCATTGTTATAGTGATATAAATATGCTTAAGAGTAAAAATACAGGTTTAAAAGTTTTATTTTGGTGACATAGTTATTTTCGAGGTAAATTACTGCTGTGGAATTTAAGTATCATGTAGTCATTATATTATCAATATAGGTTTAATAATTTATACTTTTAAGTTTTGAAACCAAATTTAGCAAGTGTACATTAAATATACATGCAGTATAAACACAATAGTATGTATGTTAAAAAAAAATAGAAAAATGTACAAACAAATCAACGATTATTTGAATTATTAAATTATTTAAAGCGAAAAAAAAAATTAATTTCCATTCCTTTGACAAATGAAGGTCAATAATTTTAATAATTTGCTGAATATTTTATAGACGAACAAATTAAAACAAAAACTTCAACTTTTCACATTATACATATAATAATTTAATACTTCATTAGAACTATCTAGAGATTTTTCTCGGCTTGAAAAATAAATTAAATTTGTTTAATTATAAGAATCTTATTTTAAACGCAGAACAAATGAAAAAATATATTGAAATTATAAACACATTCAATATTTATTAATTGCTGATATTTTAGATTTTTTTTTTTTATATTTTTAATAAAATCGATAACAATATATAATTTATTATACCATCTGTGTTCAAATTCACTAAATTATTAAACAAAACACGGGAATCAATAGCAAAAAAAATTAATTATATAAAAACAATAACAACTATGTAATTAAAAACTTCGTAAAGTCGAATTTAATTAGTGGCACGGCATAGTACTGTGTGTTTTTATTTTTCGATTTTGTAACTTTATGACATCATATAATTTACATAGTTTATTGCATGAACTGTATATCGTTATGGATTTAATCAAAAAATTATTTTCCAAATAACACTAAAATTATTTATATTTTAAAATATTTTACAAAAAATACTTTTAGCAAAATGTTTAGAAAAATAAGTACCATTATTTATTTAATAGAGACATCTTTCAATATAAGCCGTGTTTTTATTTTTATTTTTATTACAAGATTTCAATACACATACTTATGGAAACAAATTACTGCTCTAGTTGTTGCTTGAAATTATATTGTTTGTACCATAAATAAAACAGTAGTTTAAAATAGAGTTCAAGTAAAATTTTGAGAATAATTTATAATTAAAATAACATCCTTAATTCGAATATAAAATTGCCAATCGCCAAAAATAAATAAATAAATAATACCAATGCGTAAGAATTTTATCATTAACTCAAGTATATCGTACTTGTTATGATCCCAAGAAAAATTGAAATGTCATATAGGTACGCATCTTTATATACTATCGTTATAGTTATTATTTTGTAGTACACTATTATACGTTTAAAAGGTTCATCATAAATTTTAATCAATTCACTATGCAGTAAGAATGTAGGATTATGATACATTCCCAGTAAATATTTTGAGGTAAAAGTAAGCTTTTCGCGGCAACTAAAAAGTTTTGCTAACGAACAAGGAAAATCAACAAAAATATTATTTATTATTTATTTATTATAATGTGTTATTAATTTTTGATAAAAAGTCTTAAGGGTGATGTTAATATTCAAGAAAAAAGTAGAAAGTAGGTATTAAAAGTTATGACGTTAGTTTCCATAATATATAATTATAATTTTATGTAGGTAATTACATTAGATTTGAATTAATACTAATCAAGAATAAATAATTCTAAAACTTTTCCAAATAAAACTGTGGGGAAGAAATTACTCACGAAATAGATGTTTTCTTTTTTTAAAAAAAAGGTTATTTAGATATTTAATAATATGATAAAAATAACCTGAAAAAAATTAAATTGATTATGGAAAGAAAATATTGCTACTATTCAATAAAATTAAGGTAAACATAAAATTACTGAGTGAACATGTGGTATGCATAAAACATATTGATTTTGGACGCACGTAAACACAATAGTATAAATGACGATAATAATAATAATATCATAAATGTATGGCGTGTAAAAAAAAACCGATAAATTTAAATTAAAACTGTGTCCACGAAACACGCATGACCACACCTACATAAACACGAAATGAAACAGAAAGAAATATTGTCTTGTTACAATACTTTTCAAAAAAAATTCTTGAGACTCATTTGTAGATGTCAATATAAACAATTGTTCGAAATACAAAAAATCTTACCAAATCACCTATGAACTACATATATTTTATTGATAAGAAGTATCTGGGTAAAATTACAAAAGTATCTGAGTCATATTCAAAAAAATATATTTTCATTAATTTTTACCTTGGTAATATTTTTACCAAGACATTATTCCAGACATTGGAATAAGCTACAAGAATATAATATGTTGAGATACGAAAACACTGAAAATTCAACACTTTTAACGAAATATATTAAACTTATACATTCCCATGTTTTTCTTTATATTACCAATATTAACATTAAGAAATATCATTTGATTGATATATAACTACGAGAGTACTATAAATTTCCAAACATTTTTTAAATTGTATTCGAGCACAAAAATGTATAAAAATAAATATCGGTGATTAATATAATACCAAAAATATATCATTCATTTTTATTAGATTATTTTTCAATCAATTTGAAGTTGTTTTTCATGAATTTAATCATCAAACAAAAATTTCACAAAACTGAACTACCATCAAAATACTTCCACATTATTAGCATGATAAATTCATATTTACGGTGCTATTCGAAACGTAATATAATTTTTTATTTTATAACATGCGCATGTGTGTATGTTTTTTTTTTCACGTATGTATAAGTGTTGATATCGTAATAATAACAATGTCGTTTGAGTACAACACTCAAAAACCACTACATGAACACGGGCACACACTCGTCGTCAGTGATAATAACACGATGTATACTCTCATATAATATTTCTTGTCGAATTAAAGGAAAAGAAACATATTTATCCATCCACTTCCATCCCTGTGAAAGTGTGTGTAAAAGTCATCACAAACAAATGAGGTTCATGCATAAACATCTCTAGTTTGTATACGACTTCTCTTTGGTGACAGAAGGGGTTGGAAATATTATCATGACAAAACAGAACACCTACGTTACCGGCAGTGTCGACAATGGTGTCGGAGCAAACGAGTTTATATTTACACAGTTTCCTAACTTAAAATGAGAGTAATAATTAAACGTGTTCTATGATACTT